CTGCTGGGGCACAGGCCTTCCCTATGGATGGAATAGGGAGTTTGGGCCAAGACCACTTTTATTTCTGAAGTCTACTTAAACCATTAGTTGAAACTAACCACCCATCTTTCTCTATGTATAAGTGTAAAGGTATATAAGAATTGGAGTTCGATGGCGCAAGTGGTTAGCGCGTTCGGCTGCGATCTTTGAAGTTAAGCAACTTTCGCAGTGGTCGGTCATTGGATGGGTGACCAAAAATGTTCTATCTTGAGCTCCTCCGTGCTTCGGAAGGCACGTTAAGCCGTTGGTACCGGCTGCATCTGCAGTCGTTAGCACCCGCCAATCCGCACTGGGCCCGCGTGCTTGGTCATGGCCCAATCTCCCTATTCCATCCATAGGGAAGGCCTGTGCCCCAGCAGTGAGGACATTAATAGACTGATGATGATGATGATGACGGGGCAAGGTTTTAATTTTAGAACTAATCTTTTTTGCAACCCATAAATTAATAAATCAAATCTCAGTAAAAATGTCCCTCGCACAGTCTGTAGCCCAGCAGAAGAGTAAATACGCTTCAGATTGGGTTTGCAGTACATGTGAAAAAATGGTACTTTTCGGTGTGAGAACCTTTGATTTTTGTTTGATGTTCGCGGGTTGGATTTCCACCATTCGAGGGCCGGTAGCCGTTGGGTAAGTTAGAGGAATAGGGTCAAGATGGCAGTTTCAGTTATAGTTCTTTACCTTTCTGCTACTTACACTTAATGAGGGTCATTTGTTATAGTCTTTTCAATGAGGATTATCTCAAGAATCTAAGAGGATAAATACTAATAAAAACATGCAGAATATTTTAGAACCGGAGGAGGTTCTAAAATAGTTTGCATATTTTTGATCTTAAAATCGGTTAAAAAGAGATTTGTTAGAAAATCCCGAAATATTATATATATTTTTTAAGCATCTAACTGCTAGATGTTTAAACCTAAATAATTGTTTGTGGTTTCCTACAATGCGACGAGATGGCGCTGCCTTGCAGCTTAAGAAAGGCTAGAGAAAATTTGACACGGCCGTCAGGGCCGCGGTAGCATAATTGGTCAGTGCGGTCAGAAGTCAGATGCACCCGCATCTGACTTCTGACCGCACTGACCATCTGACCATCTGACCAACTGACCATCTGACATTCTGACCGCACTGACATCGAGTCCCGTCTAAATATTATTAGAATTATCTCAAAGTTAAACTCAACAAAGTTCTTCTGAATACTAATCTTAAATCTTTATATATATAATTCTTCTGTGAGTGTGTATGTCACTGAACTTCTCTTAAACGACTGGACCGATTCTGATGAAATTTTTTGTGTGTGTTCAAGGGGATCTGAGAATGGTTTAGATTCACAATTTTGTCCGCTGGACAACCCCTATTTTTTTAGGGCGGTACGAAGTTCGCTGGGTCAGCTAGTACTTTATAAAATGTAGAAATATTTACACTCAACCAGTGGTTGTGGTTTAACAATACACAAAAAAAAGTATTCAATGTTCAAAACTCGTTGCCAACGGTTTGGTGTTGCCATGTTTAGCGAACTATTCAAAATTAGAAAAGATTTAGGAAATAAGTGAAAGTGTGTCGCTGAATTATTGTACTGCTAAAAGGCTGTTGCAGTTTCAGAAATCTATTATGCGTTTCTATGTTGTCGACAACTTATCGTTATTTGTTTACGAAAGAAACAAAATTACTCGTTGTTTCACGTTATAACTATACACACTATATGTATAAAGAAAAGTTTACTAGAAAAAAAAAACCGTTTCTAGTAAACTTTTCTTTAGATTTAAACATCTAGCAGTTAAATGCTTAAAAAAAATCATAACTATATTTGCTATTTCTTCTTTCAAATGTTTAATACCTGAAAAAGTATTCATTTGACATTGTGGGTTACCTACAATGCGAAGAGATGGCGCTGCCTTGCAGCTTAAGGCTAGGAAAATTTTTACGCGGCTAATAGGGCCGTGGTAGCATAATGGTCAGTGCATTCGCCCGGATAGCGAAGGATGCGGGCTCGAGTCCCGTCCGCTGCCTGGTCCGCGTGGTTTTTTTTTCTAGTAAACTTTTCTTTAGATTTAAACATCTAGCAGTTAAATGCTTAAAAAATAAATAAAATCATAACACACTATATTCTCGTATGCCTCGTATCATCAGCCATTGGACGTCCACTGGATAAAGAGCTCCTCGAGGAATTTCCATATGCAATGATTCTGCGCTCTCCTCATCCAGTAGGTCCCCCCGACTCGCTCGATATAATCGATCCACCTGTACCCCTAGCACGAACCAATATCGAATTCGTATCGTTTGTGAGTCCGAAATGTCATCGTCAAATGTGTACTAATTTTTAAGTTCTCGTTACGTACTTTGTGCCGCTGCTGTTCAAGTTTCCATACAAAATTTGACATTGACATTTCGGTTTGCAAACTATTCGAATTCGATAATGGTTCGTGTTAGGGGTACTAAAAATTTGTACTGGCGAGTCTATAGTTTTGTCAAACAAGTGCGACGATTGAATTCTAACAAAATAATATGATTTTTTTGTTTAAAAGTGGTTAAATTGAAATAATATGTTAATAATTCTACTTATTGGCTATCTATATGATCTCATATCTATTATAATAGCCAATTAAACGACGCGACATCAATCAATAAAACAACAACGTTTTGGTCAAGTTATGAGCATTTGCTCACACATTACTGTGGTGCGCCTGCCCCGCCCACAAGGTCCTCCTAACCTATTTTTGTGTTCTGTGGCTTGCAAGGGCCACCGGTTAAGAATCACTGTTCTATAGTGATTATCTTTTATAATGCGTCAATCGTATTCTATATTAATAGTTAATGTCACATGTTTGAAATAATACTAAAGTTCATAATAATAACCTGACACGGATATAATATATTTCCGTCGTCATCTCATTACTAAATGTATTTTTTGTTCGATATTGTTTTGATTGTATAAGTACCAAATTATTATTTCACACTGTAACTTTAATCTTTACATCTTTGTTTTTTAAGCTTTATGTTTAAATTGCCATTTAAAAACATACAACAATAGATTAGGAGCCGCGCCTTTGTTTATATAGTTAACTTTTTTACTAGGTGGCTGATGACGACAGCACATGCTGTTTCTAAAATTAAGAAAAAAAAACCGGAGTCGGAGAGAGAAAAGCGTGAGTCGAACTCGCCCATCGAGGGTTCCGTATAAATTTGTAGATACACAACATAAGCGGACGCATCTTTTTTTTACGCTTACTTAGATTTGAGAATTTGGCTTAAATTTCATTGAGGCGTTCCCGAGATAAAGGGTGTTAAGAACTCCTTTTGATACTTATATTTCTTTATTTATGGTTTGTTATGTTATGACATTGATAGTTGATGGTTGATGGACAAAGAAAATATATGATTAATTGAGAAAGTAAAAGATTATTTTATTATTTTAATTATCAACATTGTTGTCAAGCAGCTTGGGAGGCAGTAGCAGCACGCCTCACAACCGTGACGTCAGCAAGCACCGCTGTAGACGAGCCACATTCTCTTCATCTGAATAATGGCCAATCCTGGAGCTCTACTCTCTTTCTCCGAAACGAAATTTCCGAAACGAATTTTAAACGAAATTTCGCCAGTGACTCTACTCTATTTTATCTTCGAACACGCACATAAAGTTCGGAATCACAGACAATTATCGTGAACGAATGGAATGAGTTATGTTAGTGAGTTCTTTTTGTCTACACTTTTTAAATAACGTTTTTTACTTCAAAACAATATTACTTTATGACAACATTTTTGATTACATTAAAACAACCTCTTTTGACAGTGTTAGCCGATTAATTTGTAGAGTTGATGCAATCGAATGTATGTCAACTTAAATTTGTCGTGTAACACTTTGAAGTATTGGCCGGCAATACAATAATAAACAAAAATTTGATTTATTTGTAAATTTTTCATACTAAAAAATGTTCCTCACACTAAGCAGCCTTAATTAAAAATACTCTAGTAGTAATTTTAGCTTTAATTTAAACAAAAATCCTAAAACGAAAATGAAAAGGTAACACTTTTCATTTCGTCTATTTGAGGTAAAATTTCGAACAATTATCTGTCAAATTTAACTTTTAGAGAATTTAAATGTCAAACTATTTTCGGACGAACGAATTTTCGAAATGAAATAGAAACAGAGTTAGGAACGTGCGAAATTTCGAACGAAATTTCGCTTTTCGTTGAAATAGAGTAGGCCTCCTGGTCGTTGTCTCGAACGCGCGCTTGAATCGCAACCATTCAATAGGATCACCTGAGAAGACGGGCAAATCTCTGGCAGATATTCGGCTCAACAAAGGGTCTTGACAAACAAACAGACGCACAACAAAATTATTATATATTATTAAATTATATTTTTTTTTACTTTTTATTTATTTGTTTTCAAAAAAAGTTACAAATTTTATGCTAAGTCTACCAAACTGCAACACAGTTTGTCGGCAGTAAAATAGCTCCTTGGAATTGGAACTATAAATGATTTTGAATTCTATAGGGAGAGCATTAAATAGCTTGGTAGCAGTTCATAGCTGGTGCACGAGCTTTCTTCGCGCTAGGACTTTACCAACGTCTAATATCGGGTGGGGTAGAGTCGTTTGTCTCATCATCGGCCTGTTAATGTCCCCACTGCTGGGGCACAGGCCTTCCCTATGGATGGAATAGGGAGATTGGGCCATGACCCAGCACGCGGGCACAGTGCGGATTGGCGGGTGCTAACGACTGCATATGCAGCCGGGACCAACGGCTTAATCGTTCGTTCCGAAGCACGGAGGAACTCGAGATAGAAGATTTTTGGTCACCCATCCAATGACCGACCACTGCGAAAGTTGCTTAACTTCACCGATCGCAGCCGAACGCGCTTACCACCTGCGCCATCAAGCTCCTCATCGCCAGTCGTCGCCAGAACCAAACTATAAAAAAAATATTGTTTTCGAAATGCTCATGAGCTTTATCTTTGGTTCCAGGTTCCAGCATGGATTCCCCGCCGCTCGTGTCAGCCCCCTGGCTGTCTACCATCGTCTTCCTTTGCTCCTTCCTATCGACTTACACGCTCAACACTAAGGTATGTAACATGTTCAGCATCTCTTATCTATTAGACAAGTCCGTCCGTCCGTCCGTCCGTCCGTCCGTCCGTCCGTCCGTCCGTCCGTCCCCGGTGCTGTTTCAGCGGCCAAACCGTAAGAGATAGATAAAGAGAATGTTTAAGTTATAAGTTGAGAATAGTCTGATAAGACTACAAACCGGATGTGAGTAACGTAGCACTTCCGGTTTTCGAGAAATCACGTGATTTCTATTTCAAACGAAACCACACAAAATCTCCGAAGTTCTCAATTAATTAAATACATTTTTTTTTTGGTGAACATTTGGTTCACTGGTTTGCTAGTAGTTATATATTTTGTAACTGCTCAATGTTTCAATTGAGGAAAATATTACTAGAAAGAATTCCACGCGGACCAGGCAGCAGACGGGACTCGAACCCGCACCCTTCGCTATCGGGGCGAATGCACTGACCATTGTACTACCGCGGCCCTGATGGCCGTGTCGAATTCTTTCTAGCCTTTCTTAAGCTGCAAGGCAGCGCCATATCTTCGCATTGTTGATAAACCACAATGTTCAGCATATACAAGGATAAATATATAATAATAATAAAATAAAAATTTCGTTCAAAAGCTTTAACCGATCGTGTTGAAGTATTTACAAAAAGTTTAATCTTAGATTACACGCGCGATAATTTTTTTGGTCATCTTTAGCAGATCGCATTATTTATTTGTTTTATACATTTATTTATTAAGAATCGCCAGTGAATGATACAAAGAAGGCGACCACAACATGCAATATATGAGCAGACATGATTTTTAAAATTATATTAATTATCTTAATTTTTTAAAACATAGTTAGAATTAAAAATAAATTAAAATTTCACAAATGTACTAAAGATAGGAATACATTGCATTGACTAAATTAAAGTGGAATGCATTAAATTTATTGAATTAAATTTGAATACATTACATTATTTGAATTATTCAAATTGGCATAGGTATTTTTATCGATGATTTTGATTACGCTATTTCATAGACAGTAATCGCCGCAGTACCTCCCTCCTAAATTCTGAAATGCTGTATTTATTAAAAATGTAACATATATACTATTTCATATATGTTACATATTTAGTAATTACTAGCAAACCCGGCGAACTCCGTTTCGCCACCAGATGGCTGCGTTTTATGTAACATTTCGTTTGGTGATTAAAAGAAGTTTTTTTTTTAATTTTTCCTGAACTTTCTTTGCTATAAACCTCACGAAGCCCGAGACCTTTCCAACGAAAGCAAAACTGTGGAAATCGGTTCGTGCGTTCTGGAGTTATAGCGTCAGGAAGGAAAACCCGACTTATTTTTATATAGTAGATTAAAAAAATCAGACCTCTTCAACGGGCATCGGTGGTCGCGTCGCGGGTTCGATTCTCAGCCGAGAAAGTATTTTTTTTAATTTTAATTTTTATAGAAGGACAGGGTAACATTAAGTACCTAATTATAAAAAAATTGAGGCGATGTAAAACACGTTACAACTTTCAATTGCATCGTGGTTTCATAGAACCACACTAATCTTTATATATATAATTCTTCTGTGAGTGTGTATGTCACTGAACTTCTCTTAAATGACTGGACCGATTTTGATGAAATTTTTTGTGTGTGTTCAAGGGGATCTGAGAATGGTTTAGATTCACAATTTTGTCCGCTGGACAATGTTTTTTTAATTAAATTTTTTTATGGCGGTACGAAGTTCGCTGGGTCAGCTAGTATTTTTATAAATTAAGAAGACTCGATAGTCTTATACAAACTATTTTATATTGTATCCCTGTAGAAAGGTTTCCAGAGCTCCACGTCGTAGGGGTTGAGGTTAGGGTAGCGAAATACGCGTTTGTTATTGTTACTATGTGATAAATGATATCTCAAGCGTCTATAAGCTATTATGACCGCTTACCTTATATTCTTGTTCGGCTTTTTACACAAAAATAACCTTTAACTGACAAGCGAATTATACACCATTTGCAAAGTCTTGACAGTGCGACAATTATTTATACTTAACGCCATTCTCCGTCAACATCATATAACGCCCTTTGATCAAATTACTAAACGGCGTAAGGACAAGGTGTGTGATGTACCCTTCACAGCCTATACTTTTACAAAAAGGTTCTTTTATTATTTGGGTCCATTTTTGTATAACAGGATAAATGCTGATCTCCCCTTATATAAACTTTCAAATTTCGAATGTAAAGCCAGAGTCCGCTCTTTACTTTTAAATAAAACGTATGTCCAGACAGAGGATTATTTGTACACTCTCACATAAGTTCACAAAATACCCACATTTACTCCAAAATTCTAACTACTACAAACAACATAAGTCGTAGGGTACCACATGATAACATTATTGTATGTTTTCGACACCAAACAGTGACAACACTTTACAACACATTAAACTCTTTTTCTCTTAATTTATACACTCGTCTTAACTGATTTTTGTCATAAACACTATACATAGATAGTAAATAATAATAGATAGTAACTAGATAATTTTGTAAATCATAATAATTGTTCTTATTAACCAAGGTGGTGGGAGCCTGATGACCTGTAAAACAGGTATGTTACCATACCTATCTCAGGCATCAGTCTCACACAAACTTATCATTTGTGCCTTTACGGTTATGATTACATGGAACTTGTGTAAAATTGTTTGTGTTGAGAAAATAAAATTCATTATTATTATTATAACTAAAGAAAATATGACTAGAAAAAATTTCACGCGGACCAGGCAGCAGACGGGACCGCACCCTTCGCAATCCGGGCGAATGCACTGACCAATAATCCTACCGCGGCCCTCACGGACCGCGTCGAAATTCCTCTAGCCATTCTTAAGTTGCAAGGCAGCGCCATCTCGTCGCATTATAGGTAACCCACAATGTCCCTTCTGCTGCCTGGTCCGCGTGGAATTTTTCCTAGTCATATTTTGTTTAGATTTAAACATCAAGCAGTTACATGCTTTAAAAAAATAAAATTATAACCTCTAACTAATTAAAATGTTAAGTCAATAAAATTTACAACAGTGACTTATTTATAATGTACCGGTGTCTCAATATGGCGCTCGGTCAGCGCTCGGCTTGTATACATTTTTGACGACCGCCGTTGTTTCACGGGACGGGCCCTGATTATATATTTAAATTTGATATTTATGAGTAGTTCGATTACCTCAGAGCTGTCCCGAAATCACGTTTTGCCAACAGGCGGGTTTTGCGAACATTTTGAGTCGATCTCGAGCCCCGTGAGTAAGAAAACGCAGAGACAAAACACAATGGGCTAGTTGACTCATGTCGAATTGTATTAAATAAATGTTTATTTCTTAAAGTATTTGGTCTAAGGAACCTAAATATATCGATTTCACTTTATAAAAGCAGAAGATTGCTGTAGAAATTTAATTTAAAAAAATATTTTTTAGTCTATATTTTTTAACACTAAAAACGCTGTTTGCCACATCCGCCATGATTGTGACGTCTCTTATGGTAAACAATTAAATGTCATTCTCGTGTTACTGTGGATGGATTCTTTCGTCTGACATCTTAGAACACTTTTAACTTTAGAAAAGTTTCCGACTGTTTTTTTTTGAAAAACTAATTATGGATGCCGGCTTTGTGAAAACAGAAAGCACAAATCTGCTAAGAATTGACGCATTGATGGTTGGTGAATTTATTGCAATAAACCCCGATTTCTGCTTTGCGGAGCAGAGAAACGACAAGGCATAGATGCCTTGTAAGTAAAGTGTATTTAGTATTACAATGTAGTAATAAACATAAAACTGATACAACATATGAATAAGTGTAATAAAGTTGCGTAAGAAATTAACCTTTCGGCACTTTAATCCACAACTTTCCTGGAGTCTTCAAGGATGTGTTTTTATATTCTCGTACAATACAATAATGATAATTACTTTATTTTTCGTGGTATTTATTAGAAGTCATGTTTTTTTTATTATAAAGTCAGTTAAGTTATTTTCTACGTGCACGAGTTTTTGTTTACTGCAGTTAACGTCATAGCATAGATAATCTATAGACTAAAATGGCCGACAGCGTTTTTGTATGTCCATGAAAAATCTATTTTAAAATGAATGATTTGTAGCTATTTAGGTCTCAAAAAAATACAATACATTTTTTTTTCGGTGTAATAGAACATTTATTAACCATTTAAAACCTTTTTCCAAAAAGGATCAACTAGCCTATTGAGCACGTGTTAGTGAGCACTCGTCGCCTGTCACATACGCACTACGCCCTGAGCCCAAGCGGATATATTGGGATTAATCCCAAATCCATTCATCCTCGAGTTAACACGAGCGTGGCAGAATAATCCCACCATAACTGCAGAGCCCTTTATATATGGTCTAAATTCTAGGGCAGCAAAAAAACAATCATCGGCCATAACTTTTAGTCGCGTCCAAATCTTTTAAATAGGAGCTTTAGTCGCGTCCAAATCGTCAGTCTTTTAAATAGGAGCTACTCGAGTATTTACGTAACGTTCCTGATAGCGAAAAATTATTTATCTGCCGGTTTGCGTGGCGTGGGCCGTGTGAATTTATATAAAATCTAGGAAGAAAAATAATCCAGCACATCAGGCGAGAGAAGATGTGCGTGAACCTTCAAAAAGCTCCTATTCATAGAACTGACGAATTGGACGTGACCAAAAGCCATGGCTGATTGTTGGTTTATTTTTGCTGCCCTAGACGTTAGAGCATATATAAAGTGCTTATGTATGGTGGGAGATTATATCTCTTATGTTTGCCGCGCTTGAGTAAATCCCTAAATCAACTAAACATTACTTTAATCCATTGGAAAGCGCTTAAGCTCAATCAGATTACTATAATCGGAGACTGTATAATTAAGTATATGTTTTTATGTATGAATGTTTGTTTATGTGTAATATATTATTAGATATATATAGGATATGTATTTTTGTATGTGTATATATAATTATGTTTATGTTTTAATTTTGTTTTTCGCATTGTTTGATGTTAACTCTC